ATCCTAATGATTTTAGTCCTCACCCCATCGACGGTGTCAAAGGTCATGCGTCCCTTTCACCCCTTGCTCAACAAAATCGAAGGGGAAAAAAATAAAACAAAAAAGAAACATAGATTCACAAATTAGAAGAATGACATTATACTTATAGCATAGGTATTTCTTTACGTAGAATACATAATTATTAAGTTTTCGTTAACTCTACGAAGTGAATAAACACTTTTTTGTTAAATTCCACGTGGACGAAGTCGCGGGTAACAGCTATTTAACATAAAATAAATGCATCAGAAAGTAATATTAACGTGTTACACATCCAGATATAAATTATTTACACTATTTTAAGCGTTTTTTGCGCAAAATTTGTAACAATGTGTTACTTTTGCTAAGCAGGTTGGTGTTTTAAAAAATCGACCCACAAGAAAGTTACGGAACGTCATAAATAATAATAATAATTAAAAAAAATGAAAAAAATTCAACTATTATATCTAAAGACTTAAAATTTAGCGAACATGGTTTTTTTGTTTAGTTGAGATATGCAAAAAGCTTTTTTTTTTTTGTTTAATTTACAATTCACGTAAAATTAACTCATTAAAAACTTCTTTATCCTTCAGTCTGCATTGTTTAATTTTTAAATTCACCCGTGCGAAGAACGGGTATACCAGCTAGTTTCTATATATAATATCTCTATCTATCTATCTATCTATCTATCTATATTTCTATGTATAATATCTATCTATCTATCTCTATAATTCAATATTTCATATGATAAATCTATGTGACAAAAAGCCTTTTATGAGTAGCTAATTGTAGTTGTTAGTTGAATTATTACAACTGATTTTTATTATCTAGATGACTGAGAAACCAGGAGTGGTCAACACGTCATTCGACCAGTTAATTGCTAAGTTAGTTTTTAGATAGACAAGTCGTGACAGGTAGGGTTAGATAGACAAGACATGTGACAAGTCGTTTATGACGCAAGTCGCAAGTCACAAACGCTTATGACCAATCAATCGTGATATATTTAACCCTCCAAGGGGTCTGCACGTAAAATTCCGCCATTCCAGAGATGCTTTTCTGCCTTCAAGCAAGACTCCCAAAAGCGGCCGAGCCGTATTCTTAAAAGTACGGCTCAACCGCTTTTGAGAACCCCACCTGAAAGCAAAAAAATATGTGCGGTGTATTTTTGAAGCATCTCCAGAATGGCATGACTTTAAGTGCAGACCGCTTAGAGGGTTAAGTAGGAAAAGGGGATCTGCTATACAAAAAAGTTGGCTTTCCCTGTCTTGAATCACTTCTTTTTTCATTTTTTCCTCTCTCAGATGCTCTTCAGGAGTATTTATCTTTTATTCTTATTTCCTAAGCATTTACCATCTATTTCAGATAAGTATTCTTTTAATTTCAAAAAATCGTTTTGTTTCTCAAAATACAGTATTACGATTTTCTTGGCGTTGGTCCGTTACAGTGAGATAAGTAAATTACTTTCGAATGCTCTTGGATTATGGCGATTTATAATTTTTTATAAATTAACTTCAGTACTCTTAATTTTGTACAATATTTCTGCGCAAGTAGATTACTTATGTGTTCCTCTTGGATTATGACGATTTAGATTTTCTTTTTTACAAAAAGGAAGAGGGGGGGGGGGGGGCGTGTAGTACTTTTAAATTTTTGTATTGTTCCTAAAAGTATTTTCTCTTTTAAGTTTTATTTCATCCATATAATATAGGTAAATAAAGGAAAAATTTAGTGCCTAAAAGTTTTGCGTCATCACAACTTAATAAATTGTTGTGACAGTATTACTTTCTCATTTACTGTCTTGTTGATTGCTTTTCTTTAAGTTAAACTTATAGTTATTTAGTATAACACCCGAGGCACACTCAAAAGAAAGGGAGACCCGTGGTCCGGAACTCCCCCTCACCCTTGATACTTTTCCCCGATTGATTATGATCTCAGGAATATAGAAGGAAAAATTTAATTCAGTATTTGTGCTGTTAATAATAAATTTTATTAATTAATGCTAATTATTCATTCAATAATTTTTCTTTTCATTCCTGACAATCGACAAAATCAAAAGAATATGCTTGGTGGCGTATTGGGGTATGATACTAGAATGGTGGACTATCGACCCTGGACATCCTCTTGAAAAATTCCTGTGGGTGCCACTGAATAACATATAAATGTATTACATGTATTATACATACATATATATATATATATTGCTAATATTACAGTATTTAATAAATCCCATTACGAAATATAGACTAAATTGAAACAAATTCGTAGGAGAGATTAATTTACATTAACAATTAAAGGAATTTCTCTAGAAAGTTCAGTTTGTATCATAAACTAGAAAAAATTATTCGGTAGATGCATTT